ATAGCCGCAGATTTTGACAAATTTTAATAAATGAGTTTCGTCTGAAATTTACCCGAAAATTTGTCATCCACCCATAGTAAAACCATGGAAACCAAAAGGGAGAAGTGAACCGGTTCGAGAAAAGGAAACTCATGATAAGGCAGCTTAACATTGTTCACATAACGGTTGTTTGTAACAGCCACAACGAATCGAGATATATACAGACAAATGTATACATACATAAATGCTCGGAATGAATAGAGAAGTCGATTAAGTCACGTCTGTCTGTCCGTCCGTCCTTGTCTGAAATTTGGTATGTAGGTTTCCCTTTATCCAAGGTATGTTGGTATTGAAAATGGGCGAAATCACTGTAACCACGGCCACTTCCCATATCACGGTATTGCAAAAAATGTAAGAACTACGATATTTCAGTATATATTGGATGCAAACTCGGTGCAATTAATAACCTTGATACGGAAAAGCCATTCGTTGAAAATTATTCAAATCGGACTAAAATTACACCAGCTTAACGGCAAATTTCAGAAATACGAAAACTCCGATATTTTAATAACTGAGGACGCTTACTTACTCCAAGTTAATTGTAATAACAATCTCGTAACAATAAATAAGACTGCTATAGACTTTTAGGAATTGGGCGTGGCATCGCCCACTTTATTACTGCAAAGGTTCCAATAAACTTGGTTCAATTATATCATTAAGTCTAACTCAACGAAAACGTTTGAAATCGGGAAAACACGCCTGCTTATCATGCAAAGGTAATTTCAAGAAAGTTGCAATGACGATATGATGCCTGTTCCGGGCATATAAAGTTCGGTTTCACTNAAAGGTAATTTCAAGAAAGTTGCAATGACGATATGATGCCTGTTCCGGGCATATAAAGTTCGGTTTCACTTCGGTTTCGAACTTCTACTTCTTTACTTGTTATTTACTTTTGGTTATTTTATTATAAAAATATAGTTCATTCTCCCATTTAATCCAAGTTTGAAACTTTTTGCAATATGATAATAATATTTGATACTCAGTATCTTTCTCGGAATTCTAATTAAATAAGCTCGAACTTTTTACGAAAGTTAGTTGTATTCTTTTGCACAAAGTTGAATTTACACGGGTTTTGTTAAAGAATGAACTATATTTTTACAATAAAATAGCAAAAATTAAATAAGAATGTGGTACGGTGCGGCTATAATTTGTTCGACCACTATATGTATGTATCTATGTTTATGTATGTATACCTACATATATCTAAAAAATAATCCTTCAATAAATTGAAATTTATTTGCTTTTACGCAGCNGCGGCTATAATTTGTTCGACCACTATATGTATGTATCTATGTTTATGTATACCTATATCTAAAAAATAATCCTTAAATAAATTGAAATTTATTTGCTTTTACGCAGCGGGGAGTACGAAGTGGCTGTTATTTATTTCCGTGCTGGCTACGAGCCTGCCCACTATCCCTCACAAGATGAATGGGATGCACGCTACATGATGGAGTGCTCGCGTGCGATCAAATGTCCTTCCATTCACTATCATTTGGCTGGTACCAAAAAAGTTCAACAAGCACTTGCCCAGCCCGAAATGTTGGAGAGGTTTATAAGCGACCCAGAAAAGGTAAGAAAATTTATGTAATTCTACATAGTTTGGCGAAATTTAAACGTAGAAAAGTGTTTTTGTTTCATTAATATTTCTTCATTAGTATATGCAAAAGGTATCAGTGAAACTTGTTGTAAAGCGCTAATCTTTATTTATTTATTTTTGTCTTCAGATAAAAGCAGTAGGGCAAATTTTTACCGGTCTTTATTCGCTGGATGACTCTGAAGCTGGTAATGCCTCGTACGAAATGGCATTAAAGGAACCGGAACGATTTGTTTTGAAGCCACAACGCGAAGGCGGCGGTAATAATGTATATGGCGTTGACATTCCAGATGCACTGAGGGTAAGTTAAGACTCGGAAACTAAAAATTTTTTCAATGCTCCTGGAAGCCGGATTCTCAAAACAATTTGAAATGAGTACAAACATATTTTTATCTATTGTGCTAAACGCCAGCTTTTATTGCACCAGCATAATAGTTCCCCAAAGATTTTGGGAGCAACTGCTGGAGGGGCTAACCTTGTTGAAATATAGATTTCAGTCGTTCCGATTACATGGACGCAAAGCTCCAGACATTTGCAGTCTATCCATAAAGTTTGGGTACAAATATGGGAAACTATTTTGTAGATATTTTATTTTGCCTTAATTATAAAAATATGGTTAATCCTACAACAAAAACC